AGGGCTGCCGGGCTGCCAGAGGGATGTCTGATTGCCATCTTAGGCCCAATCCCCCGGGGAGCAGGCCTAAGCCAGCAAGTGGTCACCCCCGAGGGGTCCCAGACTGCGAGAGGGCACAGGCTGGGCTGAGGGACCCCCTACCCCCGAGTGCACAAATTTTTGTGCACTGGGCCTCTAGTTAGTTAATAATAGAATAAACCATGTCTATTTATACTAGAGGCCCGGTGCACGAATTTGTACACTGATGGGGTCCCTCAGCCTGGCCTGCACCCTCTTGCAATCCTGGACCCCTCGGGGGATGTTAGACTGCCGGTTTCAACCCAATCCCCGCAGGCCTGCCAAAACCGGCAGTCCGACATCCCCCAAGGGATGTAGTAGTGTGCGAAGCAGCAGGTGGCTGGGGAGGAGCCCGGGCTAGGCACTGTGCTGCTCCTGCTTATGGTAGTGCTGCCATGGAGATGAGAGAGGCTCATGCTACCCAATGGTCAGCTGAGCGGTGCTCCTGCTGTGGGAGCACACTGACCACCTGGGGGCAGCTCCTGCATTGAGCATCTGCTCCCTGGTGGTCAGTGTGCGTCATAGTGACCAGTCATTTGGTTGCTTACGCCTTTATATCCTATATAATAAAAGCCTAATATGCTAAGTGTCTGGTCATCCATTCAACCAATGAAAGCATAGTATGCTAAAGCTGCTCAACCGCTCGCTATGACGTGCACTGACCACCAGGAGCCAGACAATCAATGAGTCTACCAGTCGCTATGATGTGCACTGACCAACAGGGGGCAGACGCTCCAACCAGTAGGTTAGCTTGCTGTTGGGGTCTGGCTGATCAGGACTGAGTGAGATGGGCCGGGCATGTCCTGAAGCCCTCCTGCGGGCCCTCTTCAGCTGGCCAAGCTCCTGCGTCCCTCCCCGGCTCCGATTGTGCACCGGTGGAGTCCCTGGGCCTGGCCTGTGCCCTCTCGCAATCTGGGACCCGTTGGAAGATATCAGAGAGCCAGTTTCAGCTCTATCCCTCAGGCCAGGCTGAGGAACCCACTGGTGCACAAATTCGTGCACTGGGTCTCTAGTATATAGTTAGGCTGGCACTACTGGTAACAAGTAGATAATGACTTTATAAGAATTTTATACTGTATATTTGAATGTGTATTTACCTACTTAGTATAGGTATAAAAGTATAAATTAAACAAGGTATAATCTAAGAAACTGTAGAAGAAATGCTAATGGTACACTGAAGGTAAAATAAAACAATGAGAGAACAGTGAAAAAAGAGAGAAACAATGGAAATAAGAAAAAAGTGAAAGGCCACAAGATCAAATAGAAATATTAAAAGTCAACCAACTCTGCTAAAATATGAAAAAGTAATCCAATTTATTACAGCAAGACTTAAATACATCAAATAAATACTATAATTATTCTATAATAAAACCCCAAATCTGTTAGAATAATAGGTACAGCTGGCAGCCAATAATTAAATTCACCATTTTGGTAATCATAAAACACTACAGACTTATTGTACTCTTCATAAAGTAAAATCCATGGCTTTCCCACAGAATTGTTAAGCCCAGAATGAATTAAAGTTCTATCTAGTCTATATCTGTGAAGCTAAGTGATTCAATCTAAACCATACGATTCTATACTTTATTAGGCATCACCTATTTAGTTTCAAGATATTTTTGAATCTATATTCTGCCATCTAATGCATTACCAATCTCCAATACATATGACAATCTCAATCCAATGCAGCATACTTGGCATACAGAAAGCATTTAAGTGGTTTCTGAGGAAATGCAAAATCATGCAAATTCTCTGTGAACCCATCTAATCAGTGACTGCTGCCATGTACTCTCCTTATCCACAAGGATGTTACTATGTAAGACTTTGTTAAGTGTCTGCCTGAAATTAAGACTCAATACAATAATTACATTTTCCTAAGTAACCATACTTTAAAAGGATATAAAGACAGTAGAGCATGACTTGCATTCATGCAAGGTCCTGATATTCTCTGCGTTCTTTTATAAATGCTCACAAAGTGTTTAATTATCATAATCATCTCCCCTATTATGGGAGACTAGAACTAGAAGTAAGGAGACCAGTTAAAAAGTTTGAATCACAGTATTCCAGATAAATGGTAATAAAGGACTAAACTAGGATATTTCTTTGGGAAGGAGGGGAATGGAAGGATAGAATAGAAGTCACAGAGAAGAGCTACCTTACAGATAAAGGAAGGCAAATCAAACATGACACTGAAGTTGCAAACTTTCGGAACTTGGGGGGTAGCATGGTTATCATTATAAAAATAAGGAACAGAGAAACAAGCCATTTGACAGCATTGTCTATTGTCATTTAGGATGGCCTATGCTCCAAAAAAGTGATGTGATTGAGGCATTTCCCAACAAGATATTTCATGAAAAGATTTATAAAGCTTTCACAAAAAAATTGGCAAAATTTATAGAATAGCTATAATGATTAGGTAATATCAGCAAAAGGCATTTTAAGATACTATGAGAGTCAAATCAGTCAAGAAATCAAATACTGATTCTGTCTGAACTAGGTAAAATCAGGACTTCAAAGGTCAAAGGGGCCCTTGCCGGGTAGCTCAGTTAGTTGGAGCATTGTCCTATACACTGGGGCATGTATGGGAAGCAACCAATGGATGTTTTTCTCTCACACTGATTTTTCTGTCTCTCTCTCCCTTCTTCTCTCTCTAAAATATCAATAAACATATCCTCGGGTGAGGATAAAAAAATAAAAAGAAATAAAAAGGTCGAGCTGAGTCTTGGAGGGAATATTCACTGTGACAGCAAAGGGAACTGAGCATACTGTGAAAATATAAAATAGAGGGTTCTGATTTATACCCAGATAACAGGAGAAGGGATCAAAAATTTTATTTTTTATATTAGGTAGTGTAATATATGTAACATATATGTCTGTCAACTTAACATATAGATTAACCTTTCACCTTTCAGTAATGGCTTTGGGGTGTGTGTGAAATCCTCAAACATGGACTTTAGATATCTTAGTATTGCCTACAGAAGTTTACAGGAGACATACTCATCATTTCAGGCTGAGAAGCCTAATTCTTTCTACAAACAGAGCATACAGCTCAGGCACAGACTCAAGCCAATGAAGTCCACAAGAGATTGATTTAGAAAACCACAGTGCCATCTTATTCTTTTACCTTGAGAAATGAACAGTATCAGTGTATGCCTCTGAGACTTATTTATTTTTAATATTTAATTCCTTCAGTCTAATCAGACTTAGAAGCCATTCCTTGTCTTTAAGTTGACTTTATAACTGTTGTTCCATCCCATAACAGTTTAACTCTCAAAGGGATTTTTTTAATTCAAGTTCTGGATAAGGAGGCACATCTATTTTGCCCCACGTATTACGGACATAATAATACTGTGTATATAAATAGATGATTTGTAAAAGTTAGGTTTATGGGGAAGGGAGAACTGGAGGAAGGTGGTCAAAAGGTACAAACTTCCAGTTATAAGATAAATAAGTAAACATGATGACTCTCGGCTGTATGATATATTAAAGTAACTGAAATGACAGAAAAGTTACCTTTTTGTGGCACAATGTTCTTCAATATTGCTGTCCCATCTCTGAGACATAACCAAACTAAGCTCCATTTCTTCTTTTTCAATCTGTGGTTCATTTTCTTCATCATCACTATTTTGGGGGTTTTTAGTGTTTCCAAGGGAAAGACATGGTGGCTTTCTATTTCTTTCCCCCTGATATCCATCATTTTCCAAACCAGCAAGAAGATGTACCAGAGCCTCATCAGGACTGCTGTCCACTATAAAACAAGTAAAGTATCACCAAGAAATAACTTAAGTTTTCTAAATAATTCAACAATTCAGAACAATTATAAAACAATGATAAAGTAAAAGATCCTTGGACCATCTACACTAGAATGACTGTGTCCTTATTAAAAAGAAAATTCCGAACCCATCCCATATGTACTAAGTCAGAATTGCTTTTGTTAATACTTTAAAATATTTTTGAAATTACAGTTTATATTCAGTATTATTTTGTATTAGTTTTGGGTGTACATTAATCAGAATTTCTTAGGTAGGATGCAGGAATTTGCATTTTAATAAGCTGCCCAAGCTTTTGCTGCACAATTAACCTTGAGGAACACTAAACCAATATTGTAACAGTGTTCAAAATAAATATAAAATATATAAATTAATGCTAAAAAAGTACCTTTAAAAACAATACATGTGAATACCTTTATCCCTTACTTAAGCTTTACTTAGCTCATAAGATAGTCAAATGAAACCTGTAGTTGAATAACACAAGAAAGCTTTAAAAGTGGTTAATGAGATTACTTAAACACCTTCAAGTCAACAAATGATATATTACTTCATATGCACTAGGGTTGTAAAATCAAGGCAGATAATAAAAAGTGTTGACAAATATGTGAAGAAACTGGAACCCTCATACATTATTGGTCAGAATGTAAAATGCTGCAGCTGCTTTGGAAAAAAATTTGGCAGTTGCTCAAATGTTAAACATAGAGTTACCATATGATCCAGCAGTTTCACTCCTAGGTAAATACCCAAGAGCAGGGGTCCTCAAACTACGGCCCGCGGGCCACGTGCAAATACAAATATTGTATTTGTTCCCGTTTTGTTTTTTTACTTCAAAATAAGGTATGTGCAGTGTGCATAGAAATTTGTTCATAGTTTTTTTTTAAACTATAGTCCGGCCCTCCAACGGTCTGAGGGACAGTGAACTGGTCCCCTGTTTAAAAAGTTTGAGGACCCCTGCCCAAGAGAATTGAAAATGTATGCCCCCACAAAAACCTATACATGAATAATCATAGCATCATTGTTCATTATGGGCAAAAAAAGTGGAAACAACCCCATATCCATAAACTGTAGAGTGGATATATGAAATATGGCATACCCATATGATGAATTATTATTCAGCAGGAAAAAGGAATACATGCTACAAACATGGATGAACCTTGAAAACATCATACCAAGTGAATGAAGCCAGAAACAAAAGGTTATATGATTCCATTTACATGAAATGCCCCAAATAGGTTAATCAAGAGAAAACAGATTAGTGGTTGCCAGGGGCTGAGAGGAGGAAAGAATGGGGAGTGACTGTTAATGGATATGGGATTTCTTTTTGGGGTGATAAAAGTGTCCTGAAATTAGATAGTGGTAGTAACTGCATACTCCATGAATATCACTGACCTGTACAGACGTGAATTTTATGATATTCAAATTATATCTCAATAAAAGCTATTATTAAAAAAGATCATGAAGATTTGTTCTAATCTAGTACACAATCTTATTCTCTGTAAAATGAGATAATGCATTCCTCATTTACCAAAATACCAAGTTTCAGGTTTTCTTTGTAGACATTAAAGAAATTGATTCTGTCATGCTACCAGATATAAGGAAAAAAATGAAAATATTGATTCTGTATGCTACCAGATATAAGGGAAAAAATTAAGATATTTATTTTTAAGAGCCCTTCTGGCAAAAATCCATTTCTTTAAATCTAGAACTGCACTGTTTTATTTTTCCTGTCTCATACTTGAAAAAAAATAGTATTAGAAAATGAATTATAGATATTTGACTCAGATCTTATTTATTTATTTATTTATTTATTTATTTATTTATTTATTCCTCACCTGAGGATAGAGTGGAAGGGAGGGAAGAGAGGGAGAGGGAGGGAGGGAGGACGGGAAGGAGAGAGAGAAACATTAATTGGTTGCCTCCTGCGTGCACCCAGACTGGAGCCAGGGAATCAAACCTGCACCCAAGTACGTGCCCTTGATTGGGAATCAAACCCATGACCCTTCAGTGCACAGGCCAACACTCTAACCATTGAGTGCCACCAGCCAGGCTGACCCCTAGATATTTGACAAACACTGAAAATGCATTTTTGCAAACTTAGGCAAGTGACATTATATCTGCTGCTGATACATTATATTTGTACTAGAGGCCTGATGCATGAAATTCGTGT